TTTTTTTTCCCTTAAAAGCTACTCAAAACTTTGAAACCTCTATCCCTCCAGCCATAGAACCATAGGTTCTTACGTCCAAGGGGAAAAAAAATGTAAGATCATAAAGCTAAGCAAAATTCATAGCTAAAGAATTTTAATTGAACGAAAGAAAAAAAAGAAGGAATCAAGAATTTACATACTCAATTTCTCTGAGCTGGTCGAAGAAGCCAAGATCATAGACATTAGAAAGGCCAGCAAAGTGAACAATCCCACTAAGTTTGTGCTGCTCAATGTGCTTAAGTGCAATGTTCCTCTGATGATCCATTTCCGCCTCTGTGTCTGTGAAATTCTCCTTGAAAACCAAATGCCTATACATAATCCCTGTTTTCCTGAGAGCTTCGGACACTCCATTTGATTCTGTTTTTGCTTCCACCACAATCCACAACAATGGCTGAGGAACCAATCTTATAGTGTTAGCCAATCTTCTCAAAAGCACACTTTTAAATTTGTTTTTTGTGCTTGTTGGAGTCACAATGATTATGAACCTTCTTGGTGTCAACTTGGGTTCTTTCTCTTCTTCTTGTTGTTCTTCTTTCTGTGATATGAATCTCGAGTTTTCGGTGTGCTCTTTAGGCCTTGCAGGGGCAGCTGCCATTGCCACAATTGGTGTCTCTGCTATCAAACTTCTGTTAACATCTGCTGCTACTTGTTGCGGCGATTCTACTGGCCGTGGCGAAAGGTGGTCTGATATATTTGAGGAGATCATAGCAGGTCTAGCGAAAATCGAAGCCTTACCCGTTGGAGCAAATCCTGTGAAGAACCCCATGACAAAACACAAAGCAAAATGGACCACAGCTCTCTTCCACAGCTGGACCCTCTTCTTTGATCTTTCTGTGATCCCCATTTCTTCAAAGCTAAAACCAGACCAGCTGGTTTTCAAGGCTTAAAGCTATTAAATTTGGTACAATGGTTACTGAATTTTGGTGGGTTTTGGTTATAGGCTATATAGAAATTAGTATATCAGTAAAATATATATAAGGTGGGAATTTATATTTGAACATTTAGATCAGGTTGGTTTCTACAGAAAAGGGGTTTATTTATTAGAAA